GACGACGAGGACTGTTACGATCGAAGGGATTCGGTCTTGGAAAACTGTATTCGAAACGCGTCGAAAAACGATTTATTCAGAAAGAGGGTGGAAGCGCTTCCTTTCTCGAACCCCCCGCGACGCCACGAACGGGCGTAACAATTGCTCTAAGCTGAAACCGCATCCATTACGCGTCTCCGTGCCAAGATGAAGGTTCTCCTCGCAGATCACTTTTCTTTGTCACATTTCGTTCTTCGTTTTCCCCGCTGCGAGCTTCACGTTGTAACTGTCGACGTCGCGGACTCGTCGTCGCCTCCTTCTTCGCGGTACTTCTGCACCACAGGGCACAGATGCCGGTAATATTACATCCTCCGGTCCCTTTTATGGATATTGCTGTGCCGCTTCTGTACCGTACTTCTATGCTCCGTGTCTGTGTGAATTATTATACACGAGCGATGTATATACGCGCCGCATATATCCGTATAACGTCGGCTAGACCGGCCTGTCGGCCTTATTATTACCTCGATGTGTAGCCTGTCGTGAATTTCGGGGTATCATGTCTCCCCCCTCCCCGCTCCCTCCCTCCCCTCAGTTGCGAAGTTTAAGCTTTGTTTCGGAGTCGTTTATGTCGACCCTCGGTCAAAGAATCAGGAAATTTATATGAGATCAAGGCTGTGTATAATATCGTATAATAATAAAATGCCATTCTATAAATCTGTCATTGGCATATTTTTATATACTTATTAATTATTTAAAATTATTGAATAATAATATTGCATTGAAGAAGTTAATCTTTCGTTATCATCCTTTCTTTCTTAAATAAAGATATAAAGCATATGTTATATAAAGAATATATTATATATGTTCAATCAGGATCAAGTAAGTCAACTTTTTTTAAACCAGATAAAATGTAACTAAGTTATATTAAAATTAATTAACTTTTAAACTTAACTTTTAACTTTTTAACCTATCACTCTCCACTCAGTGTCCAATAATGTGATAAATTATTTTTATATTTTATTTCTAACGCTTTTCAATATTTATTATAAGTCGAAACGTTTTTATATATTTTATTGTTGAAAAATTAGTTTTAATCCTTTCTTCCTTTAATTTTTTTGTTAATAGATTAGTTTTATCTCTTGACTTAATTATTGGCTCAGTTTTAACGTCCTATTATATTGTTTAGCAATTTTGAGCTAGAAAATTGATAATATTATATAGAAAAATAACTGTCGCGTATATATAATTGTATAAATAATAAATCGAAAGTTTAAAAAATTTCCCGTGTCAAACTAATAATAGGAATACTTATCGTACCGATAGAAAATTCATTCCCATTATTAAACTTATGTTACATAACTATTAAACGCAATAAAGTAGTGTGCTTACTACTTTAATAATTATCAACTTTCTTCCATTCTTTATCACAACGACTTAATATCCGCCAGTAAAACCGCGAACTTATTCGGAGGCTACTTCACGCGCCTCATAAATATTAATACCTCCCTTAATCCGGATTCTTACGAAGTCCCGCGAAGTCTAGCGCTATCGCTCACTTTCGCGCCTCTATTATTAAGGGCTTTTGGTATACGGGATCCGTGGAATTATCTAAATTTCTACAACACAAGGCACGCACTATCGTCGATCTACGTCGAATATTCCGATGTCGCCTCCTCTCTCCTTCCCCTTCGCTTACGCTTTCGTCGGATACGCCTCGTCGAATTTCATTATCGAGCATCTACTACGGTTAAGTTGGTTCCTCGGGACTTCGCAAATTACGGAAATCAAGGAGGCTCCGGTAAGTCTAGAGGATACTCCCGCTTCCTGCTTTCGCGCGCGCTCTCCTTGTTTCCTCATTGCACGCTCAACTGCTCGACGAAGCAACTAGCTCAAGCTATATCTCTCGTCTAATATGATCAGAAATAGTCGAAATCAATCGGTCGATGACTTGACGGAAGCTCGCTGTTGAACTCGCTCGCTGGGACTTGGTGCGATGCTCGTGCAGGCCATTTCCGCAGCGCGGTATAAAGGAACAGTAAAAGGTTTCCGGCAGGATCAAATGTAAAAAGTTGCAGACGGCCTGGCGGAAATAAACTGTGGCGTACCGTTCTTATCCTTTAACATCGTTCCTTTGCGTCCATTACGGGTTATATGGTAGGAGGTTGATGGTAGGAGACCTCGCGCCTCGGCAGTAAAAGGCTAATTGGCAATTTACGAACGTGGGTGGGGTTATCCAAACATCGTATAAACGCCGTATAAATGTCATATAAACGACGTCCAGTGTGTCAGTCGTAGCATCCCGAGTGCATAAGAGACGACCACGTAAAAATACACGTACGGATAGTACAGACCGACTCTGAGGTGAGGTAATTTCAGTACAGATGTGCACCGGTTCCGGATATAAAGCTAGGTAGGCACTCGAGAAGCATTACTCGAATTAAATTTTCGCGTCCGTCCGAGCGCTTTTACGGACCTTTTGCGTCTCACGAACATGAAAGGAGCGTATTGTCAAACATCATGCTCTTAACAATATTTACCTTCCTTTCAGATATTTTTCAGGTAAACTTTGTAGCTATGAAACGCGTACTTATATACGAGAATTTTGATGTTACTTAAATTTTTGTACTATTTAAATTTGCTGCGCATGGAATTTTCATATTGAAATTTTTATATTTAAATATTACATGGAATTTTTATATTGTTCTGCCAGAAAATAATCCCGCATGGTAAAAATGTAATAGCGTTTTCGTTCACTTTTATCCAAGAGACTTTCCCATCTTATAGAGTGCGGGCGTTTCCTGATCAAAAATCCGCATGAATTCGCTATCGCAACTTTTTACGAGCATTCTTATAGATCGCTACGAATTCCGGTGTAACGGCGCGAAGAAATCCTTAGTCTGCATTTTCAATCCACCCTCGCACGTGGGACATACAGTCTCAAATATTCCTACGCGAAAAACGACGTGAAAGCGTACGATACGAGCGACATATTTGTGACTGCCTCTTTCTTTCCTTTGTTTCATATTTTATGGTTTGAGTCGTTTGAGACATCTTTTCCGTGCAACGAACGAATTTTCATGCGCATAAATATCGATCCCAATATTTACTATTTATTTTAGTTTTATAAACATAATCATTATTACATGTTTCTATATATTTAAAATATCTTGACAAATCCAATTAACAAATTATAAATAAAAAAGATAAACCATTCCATATTTTCTATACAAAATTACGGAAAGAAATATTTTAAAATTTTTGTTGAAATATTTTAAAATTTAGCTAGCTATATACATATTTAGATCTAAAAATAATTTTATTGGAATCAAAATTATTATTTAGGACATTCAAACATAATGTGTAATGCTATAAAATGTTTTGACATTTTAACAACCAGCTTAAGCTTACATAATTTTTGATCAACAAAATTATTTTCAGATCTAACTTTAATTAAATTTTTAGATACTTCAGTAAAACCATTCTTTCTATGGATATAAGAGACAATCCACGACACTCGCTTATGATTTCCTTCTTTATATTCAAATATAATTTTATTATTTTGCAACGGCGATTGCGACATTAATTTTTATATTCAAATAACTAACAGCAGTGCTTTCTTCGTATCTCCTTAGAACCTTTTGTCCGTAACTATCCTCTTAACCATCTTTCCGCTGCTTTACGACCAGACTGTTTTATTCGCACGACGAAGCAACAATACGAAGATTGCTTTGTTTGATTCGACCATCTGATCCACAGATCCGTATCTCACTCACCTTGTAATTGCCCTTTTACGTTGATCACTATTTACAGTTATGTCTCGCATTACGTTGATTATTTTTACATAGGCTCGCCTATCCACCGTCTCCAACGTGTATACAGAACGTGTGATAAAGCACGATAGCGAAACGTAGGTATCTCTTGCGACATATCCTCCAACGTTTTATCGACGTCGTAATTCAGGACGAGGCATCCCGTGGATACCTCGAGTCCCGCTTCGACCGATTTACAACTCTGGCTAGTGCGCACCTGCATCTCTCCTAGTGTCGTCCTATCTTTTGTGGATATTATTTTTCCGCAAAATAATGGAATCAAATAAACGAAGAATGTGTTAGGAAATTTACGACGATGAATTTGGGACGCGCATGATATGAAATGGATATTTGAAGCACTAGGAAACTTGGCTTTTGTCATTTCTTTATGATTGAAATATTATAAATAACTAATCTCATGTCTCTTATCGCTAATATAAGAAGATAAAATAGAGATGAATGCACAGTAGGTGTTTGTGAACTAGTGGTACAATCAGAAAGGGATGATTTTATATGAAAAAGTAAGTTGAAAAAGTAAAATAAAATTTTTTCATATGAGGTTTTGTTCCCCAAAAAAATCGACTTTAAATATTATATTTACCGTTTTAACTGCTAAATTAAAACACCAAAACATGTTCATAAAAATTTACTGCTTTTGAAAAGCAGAATTGTCGACGGAATGGGTAACATTTATAATAAAATTGATAACATTCATGTGTGAATATTCTATTTTTATTATATTCGATTATCCAGTATAATAATAAACACAAACATGAATCGAAGTAATAGCCTACAGCAAGATCTATTAAATCGAGACATAGTTAAGCGTACTCGGCGAATATTTAAAATAGATTTATCAAAAATAAAATTTCATATAAAACAAATTTATTCTACTTATTTTTAACTTATTTTTCATGTAGAATCATGCTCTTCCCTGTTGAACTATCAGTTCAACATTCTATATATAATGAAACATATTTACAATATTATAAGTAAAATATTGAAAATTTGATCGCATTAACTTGAAGAATTACGGATGCGCAACAACAATGCGAAAATAAAATTGCGCCCGCGACAGATGCGAGGTATTATTACGTATGGGAATTCCTTGTGAAACTTGCACCGTATCTTCTCCGCGATGTATTATATTACGTGAGATACCGAAAATGCCAGATAAACGTTATGTAACACCGACGGTCCTTTTATTCCCAGACTCGGAACAATCGCCGGCCGTGTACCTCAGAGACGATCCGTTGTTTGGTACCCTTCAATTGCAGCAGCACAGCGAGCTCCGCGCGCCGACGGCAGAACGCGCGGCATTCTACCTCGACGCAGCGGTTGCCGGCCGTCAACGAGAGGACGGCGACGCACATATGCTCTATACGTTACACGTATACCAATACAGCGTTGCCGGGAAGGGTGGAGGTAAATAATTCTATCTCGAAATCGCTATTCCGCTTTCCGTCCGAAGGTGGAAACGTATACCGTGGAAAAGAGATTACTCTGTATTACTCTACAGCATCTCAAACGCTGATTACATGCGTTTCCCTCCGCTATTTCGGAGTTCAAGTACACATGATATTCGCGTCGTTATTTTCTCGCGTTCCTCTCGCTTTATATGATGATATTCAAAATAAACGCTGTTTCTCCGACTGTGCAGTTGCCGGTGGTAGAAGCCGGTTGCACTTGATGGATCTGGGAAACTCGGATCGCGGGAAATCCTCGGGCGGAATTCCCCTCTCCGGTCTGGGCAACATTCTGCTTGCGATTTTCAACGGCCAGAAGCACTTACCATATAAGGAACACAAGCTAACCCAATTACTGAAAGAGTGCCTCGGCTCTCTGACTTGTCATGCGGCTATGATAGCTCACGTGTCACCCAACGCCCAGCACTATACCGAGACATTAACCACTGTCCAATTGGCATCGAGGATCCATCGAATGCGACGCCGGAAGATCAAGTTCGTCGGCAGCAACACGCAGGGAACCGGAAGCGGCGGCAGTTCCGGCGAAGAAGCAGCTCGGCAGAACAGCGAATGCGATCCGAGTTCAAGCGATTTGTCGGCCGACACCGTCATCTATGTTGGGCCGAGCGCTGACGACGCCACTGACGGCGAACATCCACCCGTTTATATACCCAGCTTGAATTCAGGTGATAATCGTTGCGCAATGGGCAGAGTGCTTCGAGGTTCCGCCGCTGAAAGACCGAGCAAGATTCCTGAGGAGCGCAGTCCAGCACATAAGCCCTCGAAAGTGGTGAAGACTTTAACGCAGACCGCATCGAAGCAGACCTCACCAGCGCACAGCGTAACGCCGAAGGCAAGTCCGGCCAGGAAAAATTCTTCGTCGAAAAATGCTTCAGCAGCAAAGTCCAACGATTCACCTAGTAAGGTACCGATAGTAGCGCCTAGTGGTGGATCTGATGAACAGTGGATAGATGGACCGAGGATCTCGAAGTCGAAAGTCGCGGAGGCGAGACATATGCTAAAGGAGTCTCATCACAAACGAGAAACATGGATCGATGGACCAATGCAATTGACTGGCGCGCCGGCGTTGCAACTGCACACGCATCAGCATTCCTCCGGTTATGGTTTCATGGACAGTCACAAGAAGAGCATGATCAGAAAATGGGTAGAAAATCAATCGTCCCAAATACAACGAGCAAAGCACGCCACGCCACGACTTGAGTCCTCAAAGATGTCCTCCGGTCAGTCATCCGGTCAGTTCAAGGAGCTGACCCAATTCAAAACCTGCGGCGGTGCGGACGACGACGACACATCGTTGTCCACCGCGGAGAGTGACAGTTTGAAAGCGAACGAGATCGAGGACATAACTGAGAAGCTGAGTGCCAAGCTGAATCTACTTAATGTCAAGTCTAACACAGATTCAGGATTAGATCTGACGGCAAGTCCAGTGATGGATGATAGCATCGAGAAAGGAAAACTTGATCTACCGGATGACGAAGATGACGATGAAGAAATTGTCGTACCTCCTCCACTGCCACTAATTGAACCACTTAGCAACGGAGTCAGCCGAGAAGTATCCATGGAAAGTTTAAATCTGTCGCACAAGGACATTGTTCTACCCTCCAGACACTCGTTATCATCTGAGGACGAAATTTTAGAGATCGTCGAAGTGGAGGACTTAGAGCCAGTACCTATGCAAGACTCGTGTTTACAAGTTACCGAGGAGGACATTGCGCTCTGCATGGGTGAGAATCCGTTGCCCGAAAGCGACCAGGAAGAACATCCTTTAAGGATTCTTAGTCAAGAGAATCTCACCGTGGTATCAACTTTCACAGGTGAGTAAATATTTCCCAATAATCATTATATTATCAGAGAGAACTCTTCAAGAACTCATATTTGAGAATAGAATGTCCGACAATGTCTTGAAGTTATTTAATGCGTCAATTTTAGTGGAAAAAAAATGTTATTACATGATATTTAAAAGAATTTTTAAATCTAATTTCTTGTAGATATAAAAAAATGTTTACATTAATAGAAGCTATGCATATTGCATATCTCTAAATTAAATTTACACAAAATTAAACGAAATTGCACTTTCAAAATACATTTTATTTACTTTTATTATAGAGTTCTATTTTGAAGACGCGACTTTTATTCTATGCTGTAAGATTTTTATTTATAAGAAACAGAATGCCGCTGTGCCCATTCAGTGGCAATGCCGCGTAATTGCATTTATAAACAGTATCATAAAAAAATTTTTTTTTAAACATTTTATAGAACGACGATTTGATTGCATTTTTAAAAGATTTTAATGAGACCTTTAAAAAGTCATCTTAAAGAATTTTTCCTTTCAATTAACAATGCTCAATAGGTTGTATTCCAAAAAAAAATTATTACATGTAATACTCTTTTTCATTGCAACAATCAATTTTAAACACATTCCATTTAAATATTGATTATGATATTCAGAATAAACATTTGTTGCATATTTTTAATTTTCAAAGATTAAATAATTTGAAACAAATTAACAAACATTTTTTGAAAATATACAAGCATTTTCATTCTAATTTTAAATAGTTTGATAATAATTATAAGTTGTAGGAAATTTTGAAAGTCACTAAAATAACTTTTAAATGTTTTTCTTTTGCGTACAACTACTTTAACTTTCGTCCCCTTACGATTGCTTCTGTGGCGAGCACTTGAACAAACTTCTATGAAAACTATTCTCCACATCATCGTGAAATTGACTTTTCGACTAGAAGTACGTAATAGGCCATGCGGTAGGAAACAATAATTCACTTCTCTCGAAAAGAGAAACCCCGATGTAATTACACATCGCTGTGTCCGTTCTTCGAACCAAAGTGGACAGCTGCCTAGTATCGTTTTCCTCCATCGTTCTTATCTGGCGGCTTTTTGCGCGGCAAAATATGAACCTACACGAGCGGAAGGCGTGAGACGGAAAAATTATTTCCAGACTCTATGTCGGTGATGTCGGACACGGAGAGATACAGACCACATTATCCACCGCCGGTCGGCGCGGGTGTTCTACCCAGACCGTACTTCGACCACGAAGACTTCCTCGAGCAAGAGACCAGGCACAAGTTTGATCAGTTGGCCCGCCTTCACGAGCTCTACCAAAGCAAACTCGCGCTCGCCAACGTTTCCAACTCCGTGACTTACCAAAGGGAAAACTCTTCCACCGTCAACGTGCGAGACGCTCCATGTAAGTTTCGCGATTGAGTGTTCGGTCAGTCGCACGCGGGGGCAAAAAGAAAGACGGAAAAATACTTTTTTCTGTTAACAATGTTCTGTTATCAAGTTCTCCTGCGGAAACGTCGCCTGTCTATTCACACGTTATTCACGGAAAGAACGATTTTGTTAAAATATCTAAAGTTTATTTAGTTATAAATATGAAAAGAAATTGTTGGTCCATATATGTATATAAATAATTAGCAATCTCAATGTTGAAAAAGTTTTGACACTCTACATAGTAACCAGTTTGCATATCCTACACTCATTCTATAATAATTATTTTGATGGTTCAATAAAATTATTTTTAAATCTATATCTAGCTAATAGATATATAGGAAAGAAACACAACAAAAATGCAATAATTGACAGTGCTTTTATTCACTGTAATTCTATTAATGATTAATAAAATAGATTTAGAAAACCTGAAATACAATTAAGTTTCGATAATTCGAATAAAAGGTTAAATTCACGATTTATCGGCTGGAGGCGAAAAATAGATTTAGTAAGAGTAAATAATTTTAATCAAGGCATTAAAGCCAGCTATTTGCGGTCTACATGCAGTATAACATTAACGCAGGACAAATTCCAGCAGCGACCGTCTTCCGTCCGCCGTCTCGCTGTCAGTCTTTATCCCTTTCGGATGTCTTATTCAACGACAACGCGAGCAATCACGGCAGCATATACAGCGAACCCGCGTACATAGCAGGAAAGCCCGATCAGGAGAAGATCTGCGATAATTGTCGTCAGAGCATGTCTAGGCCCGCCACGGCCTCTTACTGGTACCCCAGTAGCGTCGCTCATCTCGCCAGTCCCAGAAGGTATTGCGGTAAGCTAGGCGACTGCAATATCTCCAGTTTGAGGCATCCGGACGGTGCGTCGAATCCTAATCTAAAGGAGGAGATCGAAAGGATACCTGGAAATGGAGCGTCTGGCTCGGACCCCGAAGAGGAATATATCGAGGCAAAAAAGCTGTTTACGGCTGCCGAGAGATCCGAGAGAACAGTTACGGGGAAGTCCGATATAGAGGAAGATGTGAAGATTCAAGGTACCAATCCAAGATATTTTATAAATGCCTTTACATCTTTTATAGATATTTCCAATTTAATTGGATACACTGTTCCCTTGCTTTAAAAGTGACAGAACTTAAAAAAAATGTGATTTTTAAATTGTTATAATACTACGAAAAAGTTCGCTGCACGGTTTTTTAGCATCGAAACACTACCGTGTTTCTGGAACGTTATCCTATTAATATAAACGTCTTTGTATTTCTGTGATGTTAAACACATTAAACAGTACAATTTATTGTATATACTTTGTATTTCAGGCGGTTCACCCTTGCTATCAATGCCATCTCCGGCGCCGTCTTCCGGACGAATGCAACGCAAGATCCTTAGTCTCGGTTCCTCGTTTGGACTGAACAAGGAGGGCTCCGATTCCGGCGCGGACACAACGCCAAGAGCGGCTAAGCTCTCACCAGCTACGCTGTCTAGATACCGTGCCGAAAGTTCTGGTTACGATAGTATCGTTAGAGATAGCGAAACGAGCAGCATCGCCAGCGACTCGTCCCGACAGACTGGCGCGTTACAGGAACATCAAGGTAAATAAATACCTTCCGACTGACCATTTTAAAAAAGACTGTACTATTGACATCATAACTACACGAACGATTTTGCTGAAGCATCTAAAAATTTAATTAGATACACATCTGAAAATAATTTGAGTAAGGACTAACAAAATTATTATGTAGAATATTCAAGCAAAAGAGCAATGCTGAAAAGTTTTGATATTCTAGCAATTAGTTTGAGCGTCCTACATAATTATTTTTGTAAAACGTGCGTATTCGAAAATAGATTAATTTACTTTTTTAAAATGAAATTAAGACGAAAATCCGACAAAATTGTCTACGTAGACAATTTCAGAAAAATCTACTTCCTTATATCTTCCTTATACATAATCTATACATACAAGCGTCAATCGATTGTAATTATGCGCTTTGTATGAAAACCTTGTCACTCTATCGATTATCATTTTGCTGTAAATTGATGCAAACTCCTTCATTTTCTACACTTCAAAAAGTATTGGTGTGGGTTTAACATCATGCGATGTTTATATAATTCTTGCCGTGTTGGTGTTGATATAAATATGTTTGGATATATAATAGATTGAACATATCATAGATGTGAATTTAATGTCATGATTTAAAACTCACGGAGTTAAATCTATATCATATTTATATCAACACCAACATATTGAAAATTAAACAACATACAGTATTAAACATTTCACATCCATATTTTTTGAAGTGTACTTGAATTCTACTGATATACGCAAAGGACGAAAGTATCGTCGCGAGCCTTCATCCCCTAAGAAAGAATAACGCAAACCCTCTAAAACAATCCTGCCGTACGATGATTCTCCTCAGGTGGCGCGCTGGGGGTTCTAACTTCGACGTTGTGCGGGTGTTTCAGCGGTGGAACAGCGGGCGGCAGGGTGCGGGCCTCGGCGGTCGCGGGCCCACTGCCGGGCTCAACTGGGGCCGCCCGCGGCGTCGGCGATTCTCGCCTATACAGGCGAGGACGTAGACATCCTGGACAGGCGCGCGCGGGTGCGATCGAATCCACGTGGAACGACATCCAGGATACACAGCCTTCGCCTGCGCCAGCGCCTTCTTAGGCTGGAACTACGCGATGCCAAAAGGCGACTTATGGTACCAGATGCCCGTTGGGACTACAATCGTAAGTGTTCAGCTTCTCATCATATATTATAGAAGATTTGAACGAAAATTTTCGTATAGTTATTTTAAATTTTATTGCATTGCAATATATACTAATTGTTCCGAAATAATTCGTGCTTCAATAATTTATATCGCAATATTTATACAAATAAACGCGTCGCGTTGTGCATAATTGATTTCATTAATAATAGAAGGACTGAATTTGACGACTCTCCCTAGAAGGATCGTAGAAGCCAATTTGACTCCAAGCGCATTTCTTTCGTAAATAACAAATGGAAAGAAACGCAGAGAGAGAGAGAGAGAGAGAGAGAGAATTATAACGTTTTAATAATATCATTAATTTTTATTACATTTAAAGTCATAAACTTGTAAACAAAATCGTAAAATACATGAAAATGCAATATCAGATATAAGGGAGTCAAATTAGCTCTAATGGTTCTTTTAAGTGAACAATTAAATAAAAATTCAAGCGCTTTTATATATAATAGAAAATTCTTTTAATCCAAATTAAAAACATGAAAAAACATGAAATGATGGAAAATCACAAAAGGATATCACATCATATTTGGAAGCAAAGTTGAAAGAAGTTACAGCAGTTTGAATTTCGCCGAATTGGCTGCTTCGATCTTCTAGTGTTAATTAATATTTTTATTATATTTAACTTTTAACTTTTCATGTGTTTGAATAAATTTGATTGATCACATTCGAATAGCGTTTTATATACATTTATGTATAAAATTGTACAAAGTCAAATCAAACTTAGAAACAATAATAAATTAAAATAGAAAGTGAAACTTATGAAATCAAAATAAATATTGAATACTGACACAAAATGTATTTAAATGCAATCACATATATTTCATTGTTTGTTTCAAAAATAGTGTACGTGGAGGACAGTATGGACTGGCGGGATCCGTCGTTTTTGGAGGCCCTAATGGCTGAGACATGTATTTTACAAAAGAGGGTAGAGGCCTGTAAGAGCCACGTTCTTCTGGTCACTTGCTTCGATTCCTGCCCTCAAGAATCGACATCGGCCGAGATTAAGATCACCTAACGTAGACTTAGATCAGCACGCATGACCGCGTGTTGATCATCAATCCCGCCCACCTATCTACGAATTTAATCGTTGAAACGAGACGAGCGAGGTCGCCGAATAGGATGAAATAAAATTAGCAGATAATGACGTCGATGTCGCTCGACTCCGTCCAATAGTTGTTAATGATATATTGTGGTATCGTCATCGTCATCGTACGTCGTCACTATTGTTAAGTCTAAAACGGTACTAGGAAGATTTTAATAAAGAGGGAGCTAAAGTAAAAGTTTTACTGAAGTATCGCACACGTACACGCACACGCACGTGTCTTATCGAAGTTATATTATGGAGTTATAACGAAAAGTGTATTCGTGTTAGAGATTTCGCGGTTGCTTCAGTTTCAACGATGTTTCTCAGGATGCTGAATAAAGATGTTAGATAATTTTCGCGGTTGTTGCAATAGCGAAACGAGTCTAAGTTTCAAACGCGATGTTTGCGCCGTTATATTGGCATCAATGGTTTAATGTGAGAAGTTGGTGCTTTGTTCTTATGTCTATTATTCATCAGAGTTATTTAAAACTCCCGCTGCCATTTTCTCTGCCATTAATAAATTATAAGAAAGAGATATTTCCGATCTAAAGACTGTTGGCCAATCGGCCGAACCACATATTTATCGGGAACAGCGACAAATAGAACAAACGGATAAAGATGCGCATAGACTTCTATTGTCGTGATAGACTAAAAATATTCATGTCAATCTAAAACATTATGACACACGTTGATATTCATAATCATATCGATCGATAATAAAAATCGATCACGGATTAAAAGACAATTGAGTAGAAATCGAGGAAGCTGATCATGAACGATTGTAAATCATATATGGTTATTCAAGCAGTCTCGATTACACATATCGATAATTGAGATTGGCCATAATTTGGACAGTAATCATGATTAAATTTTGTATAATATCGTTAGAGCTATGATTCCGAAAGGAAGAAGGGATTAAATGGCGTTGGTTAATCTGAGTTGCTAATGAAAATCACTCACAATGACGGATATTGAGATATTAGAAATAGACGCAAATTTGTTCATGGGAAAAATCGAGCTTCGATTTTGATATGAAGCCAAATGAAAACAACGCACTGCCAAAAAAAGTGCAAAAAAGATCTTTTATACGAAGTAACAAACAATCGATAAACGAAACGCGCCGTACGTAATGTATCTAATGCACGCACGTTAATTCATGGTATTATCGTAGCTTTAATCGTTATCAGCAGTTACCGCACTTCGTAGGGTTCCGTAACTCACTTAAGAAAGATGCAACGATGCAAAGATGAGAATATATGAGAGGAAGAGAGAGGCGAGAGAGAGAGAGAGAGAGAGAGAGAGAGAGAGAGAGAGAGAGAGAGAGTGCGTGCGTGCGTGTGTGTTTGTGTGACAGAATGAGTGACAGAAAAAAGAACGTGCGCATGAAAGATAAGATGGAAAAAAATGCGAGAGTAAGTCTAAATCATAAACCATCGCTAATCGTAAGAGACGAATTTTGGTTCGAACGAATGCTATTGAAACTTGACGAAGAGAAAGGCGGAAAGGGAGCAAGGAACGAGCACCCGAAATCTCGATTTCAACATGAGAATGCGAAGAGAGAACGCGGATAGGATATAAGCACAGGCGAGGATGAGGCCGGGGAGAATGAAAATAGATGGGATGAAAATAAATCGGTATGGGCGTAATGCGAGAGGCAGAAATAGAGGTATTCTAGTTTTCCGATGCGAGTCGTGGTGAACGACGACCAATATCGATGAAAAACCAACCATTTTTCTCGTTCCGAACTGTTATACCTTGAGGTTCGTTTATGCATGATACATACGTATATGTATATGAATATATAAGCGCACATACACACACATACACACACACCACACACACACACACACCACACACATAATGGAAACTGTACTAATATGAGCAACACGCGATTAATCATCACACGTACACGCAGGTCCGTATTTGCATTCCATGTTTAGCATTAATACAGGCATCTGATATTGGATTTTTGTTGACTACCTCTAATATATTATAATTTTAAGAATGAAAATTGCGACCTATATGTTGTTATGGATTGTAAATTTATTAAAGCCGCATTAGCGTTAAATATGAGATATAGATGCGGACCAAAAGCATGGACGTCATTTTTTTCACGGACAAATGGAATGACGTCACATTACCGAGCGACAAATTCGTATTCTACGGAAAATAACGAGATAAGTGACGCTAATTAAAAAGATTCTGTGTGCTCGTATATCACTTGACGACCAAAGACGTGAGTTTGCTGCCGAAACCGTCGTCATTGCTTTCTGTTGGTTCCTTCTGTTGAGAGTAAATGCCCGATATATTGTCGGATTGTTTATCACGAAAGATCATACATAGTTGACGATTTTTCGTGCTAATCAATTATTCGAATTGTCATACGATCGAGTGCGATAATTATGTATAAAATATTATATTAAAAATGTAATATTTTATTAGCATCTGTTTTTTAACAAGAATTATATTCAAGAAATGAATCATTTCCATCTTCTCAAATGTCGGAAAACTATCTTTGTAGTTTACCGCATAAAATATTTAATTTCGTGCATATGATGTTTATTTATCTATCGTCGCGTGTCTGAATTCAAAGCATTGCCAAGAGCATGTCAATCCATCTACCGTGAATACAACAGTAATAATAACGAATTATAATAATAGTAATTATTAATTGTAACTAGCGATCTACTTCCACTTTCCATTGGAAAAACACGCGTCTCTGTATCATAGTACTTGTATTATATTTATATTTTATATGTACAAATTAGTCATATAATTTCTTGTAATAAAGATCAATTTACAACGTGTATCCTGAATCATCTTTGTCCCATTTGTCCCTGCTGTAAATTTATTATACGAAATACTCTTATTTCGACTTAGAAATAACGATGGCAGTTATTTTTTTTCTTTTTGGTTCACTTATAAAAAAATCTAACAAAAAAAATACACGTAAATTCTCACTTCATAATGTAATATGACGGATTTGCCATCTCGATTCATTTTTTTTAAATGTGACTTACGTCACTACCGCAATAACATCTCACATATCGTCAAATGAATTAGCACTGGAAAGAGAGTCGACCCTGACGAATTCCTGAGACAATTTATTGGGACGTTCTAGGCCGGGACGCAATTCTCGGCCGGCGTATGCGAATGTAGGTCCACCTCCATTTGTCTGTCGACGTTGATACTTTGTTTCACAATGCACGGCTGCACGCGACTTCGCACAGAAAACGAGCACGACGTTCAAGATGAATCGCGTACCGTCTCTTGGAGAAATTACGTGACGGATGAGCGAGCATAATAATGCAATACGGATGAAAGACGAGAAGCTCTATCAAAATTCAATGCGACTTTTAAACATCAATTTGCCTTAATAGATGGTGGGCAACAAGCCAATCGGTTATTATAATAGTAATCGCATTTTTTGAATAATAATAAGATTAGGATGATATATAGTAAGCAAATAATTCTATCGCTCACAATTACGTTTCCACAAATTTACATTGCAATTAATTACATTTAAAAAAATCGAATTACAATTAAAATATCTAAACAATAACATATTTTATAAATCAAAAAAGGTTTATAGCTTTAAACAAATAAAAATTTATGAAATTGTTCGCATGTGAAAAGACGATATATTTGAAATGCAATGCTTGAAAATCACTGCGTCAACATAATGATAGCGTCAATTTAGTCGCAGGATGAGTAACCTTCCATCCCATTTATGCTTATCAGATAGATAAAATACTATTATGGTTACAATTAAAGACTTAAAATCGGTGCGCTGATTACAATATATGCATCATGTAATCGCGAGACCTCGGCATTTGAATGGATTATTCGAAGATACAATTGAATCAACGATGGTTTCACATGCGAAAAGAATACTTAAGCGCGCCGCTACGATACGCGAATGATACGCAGCGCACACGCATACGCGCAATTTGATCGCGCACACGCATCGCGTGATTTACGAATCTATTACTAAAATCATACTTTTATCGTCTTATTATGCTGGCTTGAATGTCGAAAATATTTTTCGGTCATGAAATTTCACGTTACTTTATGTATAAGAAGAATGTATATACAAAGATAATAGCGTATTTTGCATATTTTAATGAGTAGCTGAAATATATACCAAAAAATTACATCTGTTAATAAAATAAGCTGATTAGACAAGCCGGCGCTACTTAATCATATCTTCGTAATCATAAAATCAAATATTCTCATAAAAATGTACATTAAGAGAAAAAATGCTTACAATTATTATATTGTATTTAATCATTATTTATCAATGTCGACTTATATTTTTGGTAGAATCATAAAAATTTATAATTATTATTAGAAACATTGTAACAATAACTAACCAGTTAATAGTTCTGTTTTTATAACTACCATATAATTATGATTAACTAATAACTATCTTATAATTATAAAAATAAAACTCCTAAATATTATTATTTTATTTTGCAATTATAGTCGCAAATACAAAACACTTGTCTCTCAGCGTGTGTTTAAATAAACCGTGATACATATGATCGTGCAAACTGATTTTCGTTCTCTTCATGAGATCATATGACTACAGAGACATCGATCCAACAGAATTAAACTTTTTAAAAAATTATCGTTATCAAAATAAATGATATCATTTAATACAATATTCTTTCTATTCAAAATACTGAAAAATGAAATATTTACAAAATCTGTCAATTTACTCCAATATTTTGCACGTTTATTCATGGCAGGAACCTGCACATCACTGCATCAAATGGTCATCGTACGGTAGGGTTCATATAGAGTAAGTGAGAGAGAAAAATAAAGAGAGAGAGAGAGAAAGAGAGATGCCAAAGAATTTCATTCGAGATACACTCGATTGCATATTAGCCTATTAGTAACGGAATCGGTAGTAGGGATCGACGTGGTGTCACGAAATTATCATTGAGTGAGGGAAGCGAGTGGCGTTTCATGTACTCGGAACAACGATGAGCAGCCACGCCGGTCGCGGAGCAGCGGCGGGCAAAGGCGATTAGGGAGCAGCAAGAAGAGACGTCGTAGCCAAATCGAACAGTAGCGTTAAGGCAGTCTGAGAGAATGGCTCGCGGCGCAACACGCTGGAGCGTTCTGCTAGGCTCGCTGGCCCTCGTGCTGGCCCTAATCGCGCCCTTTACCGTAGCTTTATCTAAAAGGGATCTGTATCAGCACACAGGGTCGGATTCCAACGTCCTCGAAACCGACAACAATGGAATGTTGCTATCCGCCGAAGCTATCCTCAAAACGCCCATCGTTTTTTACGACAAGATCTACAACTCGATATTCGTGAGTATTAATAGTGAATTTGTTCTCAGAGTATCGAATACTCGTATAAAGCACTAAGGTACGAATTAGCATTAAAATAGTTAAAACAGTTATTCCAATTGCAAAATATATTTCTCATTCAATACGGATTTATATCAAGTCTATATTTAAGTAAATTTTTATCGATGCACAGATGTATATTCTGTTAATGAATGAGAATTTTAGAATTTTAATTACAATTTGCATTGAGATAAATATATAATTGATTTTAATTATCTAATCTTAACCAAAGCGTGCAAAAATACACACAAATGATTTAAAAATAACGTGGCATGTGTTATCACGTACACATCAAGTGGAATTGCATATAATGTGGAATAATTTTCATTTCAAAAAATAAATTAAAATACAACTTGAGAAGAAACTCCTTCTCATTATTGTATCATAATTGTGGCACGTAATTATATAAACATCATAATTTTTAAAAACTATGTTGTAATGTAATCTTTTTGATTGTATTTTGTCTTATCAATAACTTAAAATTTCTTACAATCCAAACAATTTAAAATTTTTAAAGATGGATGAACCGAAATGAAAAAAAAATATTTATAAATTGTTAATAATAATTTCGATTAAAACTCAACAATTTCGAGAGACACTCTGCTATTTGTTTTTTTTTTATTATTTACGACTATGAATGCTTTGAAAAGTTATTATTAGACGCGAATCCACTATTTTTATATTTATACGCTTGTAAACTGATCGTTGGCGAAAAACACCAGTCCGAAAAAAATCCGCAAATATTCTTGATAACCTATTGCAAATCTGTCCTCTCACAATATTTTTACAATTATTGAGATATTTACCACTAAGATGTCAGTGTGATGTAACGTCATAGTTAATCAAACTTTATGGCAATATCGTATAAATACATTTTATTCTATTCTTATCTTATTTAGTTTCCTCTCTTTGTCGTAAATATCTAAAAAAAAACTGCTCCTAAAAACATAAAATAGATACAATTAATAAAAATTTAGTACACCAATTACATACAATTACAATTTTTTTTATATTAAACGGAATTACATATAATTAAGTAAATGTAGAATAATATTCATCTCAAGTAGTTCATCAAAATATGATTTAAAGAGAAAATGTTTTTTTAAGGAAAAAATTATTATATCATAATTATAATAAGTGAACACACTAAAATATGTCAAATTCATAATGTCAAATTATATCTAATTTTTTTAAATCATTTCTATAGATCGTTATTGCTTCTACTCAATATATCGTTATCAAAAACAATGGAGTTAAATAATTTAACTCAAGAAAATTTATTAAATTTAATTCAAATTTAATTTATTACTAAGTTCATACATCAATGTTTCTTTTTCGAAACTAACATAGAAATAGATTTATTTACATTTTGCTACATAGAAGTTAAAAATAACAAAATGTCTGTGTGTGTTGTTTTTAACTCAAAGAATTGGACCTTCACTATTTGCTAGACCATTGCTTCATTGATATAAAACAAAATACGTTGTGTGTGTATGTGTGTGTCATCCGATTTTTAACCAATGTCTAAAACAATTATTAAAACTATATTTTTCATTAACTGAATTTATATTGAGCTTATATTTAAATAAATTTTGACTGAAGCACAAAAAGTCTACGTTCTTTTTTTTTGCTAATGAGAATACTAGTGAACATTATATCCTTGTAATTATAATAATGTTTTTAAACATTTCAATGTATCAAATTAAAATGTATTGTAACTTAAAACTATACTACAGTTAAAACTAGAAAATAAAATTTTGTCACTGTATTATACTAATTATCTTATCTCTTAGTTTCAATAATAAGAGACTCCCTGATTAGAACAAATTTGAACCGAGAAAAAATTTACCCATTCATCAACTTTGTTAATATAAGCGATAACGGTGACGAGACGCACTCCACCGCAAGTTTGTCTATCCTATTTTTTCGCAGAACGACGAAAAGTTATAAAATTTGTTCAGACATGTTACAGATTAGGAAACTTAGCGCAGTCACCGCGTGTGACGAACTTCAATTTATGGTCCGGTCT